ATAAGTAATTTATTGTAAAACATTAGTCCATTATTAATTAATTAATTATTTAACTTAGTTATTAATTATCTATTATTTATTAGCTAATTTAAAAAAATAGTGATTTAATGAATTATTTATTATTTTATAAATATTTTTTCAATTTATTGATTAATGAATTAATAATTTTTTGTTGAATTGATTAACTAAAAATTAATTAGTAATGAATTATGAATAATTATTTGTTATTAATTTATTAATTAACTAGCGAGGAATTGTCATGGGAAAGTGAAACAACAGAAAATGATATATATTAAAACTAGGCCTTCCATGTTAGCATGTCTCTCCTTTCTCTCCTACTATTTATCTATTTTGTGTTTTTTTTTTAATTTTTATTTTTAAAATAGAAAAAAAAAACTCAATTAGCCAATCAACTTTAAGTCCTTAAGACTTTCATCTCTCTCTTCTCTTTCTCACTAACTCCTTTGATTATTTCTCCTCATAATCATTCAGACTATCTCTCTCCTCCAATAATTCTCTCTCCCTTTTCAATAACTCTACTAAATTGCTTAAAATTCAAAGACTCTTTTTCCTTTTCCCTTTTTATTTTTATTTTATTCTCTCTCCTCTCCACGTTAATCTAATAAACCAAAAGCTATTTGCTTAGGGGTGATCATTTCAATACGGCTTGGGCCTAGGCCCGCAGGCATAAGCCCAACCTAATCCATAAACAAATAACAACTTAAAAATTATTTAATTATCACAAATAGTTAAATCACCTAAGAATAAATTGTGTGTGTATTTGAGAGAGAGAGAGAGAGAGAGAGAGAGAATTATAAGACATAGGTTCCACCCCTTCCATCATTAACCTATTTTAGTATATTTCTATAAGCCTCTTCCATTATTATTAGCTTATTGTACTCCAAAGAGAGAATTTTACTCTCATCCAAATTCCAATTATTGTTTCATATTCAAATTTTATTTCATTGGTTAATTGTTAGAAAATTATAATTTGAAACCTAATAAGTAAAATTAATAAAAAATTACTAATGTTTATAAAAAAATATTAAATTTTAGCAAGTTTTTATCCAACAACTATTAAAAATTAAGAAATTAGTAAAAATTGTAGTTTATGAATTAAAAATTAGAATACATATGATCATTTATAAGTTAGCCCAATTAAAATTAAAATACATATATTTATTAAAAATAAAAATTAATAAACAAACCATTTGCATTCTGTATAAAAAAAAATATAGAAATTAATTAAAATAATAAAAGTAATAATGGCCTAATTTGAAATGTCATAAAACTCCTTCTACTTAGAGATGATCATTTAGAACTTAGCCCAACTTGGATATACCTACAAATTTTCGGGCTAGCAACAGTTTTATGGGCAGTAGGGATCTAAAGGGATTGAATTCAAAGCATGTCCAACTGCATCTATAATGATTTTGGAATCAGATCTGCATTTGCATCAAAGTATTACGTCAGATTTTAGATCGGATTTGGATTTAATTCATATTATTGTGTTTAGAATGACCCAAAAATTAAAAAAAAAAGTTTTAACAACTAATTATGATATTTGTAATTATACTAAACCGAATCAGTAACAACCCATGCATGTATTATTTTTGGGTTTTTAACTATTTTTGGATAAAAATTATTAATATTGAAGCTGAAGGAGCTATGGGGGATAGGCTACCCCCATTGTGTAGCCTAATGAACAAAAAATAAATAAATAAAAGACATTGGTTTGATAGTGTATTAACAATTTTTAAGGTTGCTTGGCCCAACCCAGCCCACACCTAAGTGTAATAATATTTGTCTAGGCCTAGGATAGGGACATGCTTTCCTGTGTTATTTAATTTTAGTTTATTATAAAATAATTAATATAAAATTTGTTATCTAAATATATATGTATATAATTTCCAAGTCAAGCTTAGGGGTTGCTTAGCTTGGGCCTTGCCCACTAGGGCTGTCAATGGACTCCAATTATCTTGGATTTGGGTGTTAGAAGCTGCATCTAATAAATAATCATATTAGACATGGATTTAACCCCATCAGGCTGACTAAAATTCGAGTCCAATAAAAAATATTATTATATATGTAGTATAATTATATACACATATAGATATTATGTATATATAAAGTTTATAATTGATAAGTTTAATATTTTATATTTATAATTTATTATACATATATACTTTAAAAATAGGGTAAATTACAAAGACCACCTTGAACTATATATGGGGTCAGTGACAAATACCCCCTGAACTTTCATTTGTGACAAATCCACCCCCTCGACTTTTAAGTCCAATGACAAAATGAATTAAATTACCAAAATACCCGCCTAACATTCCTTATTTTCTTTTTCTTTCCCTTTTCTCTTAAACCCTAATTGACCAAAGATATCTCCATTTTCTCTAGACAAAACCATTTAAAATAATAAGAATAATTTCATCGGCATAGATAATAAAGTTTTTTTTTTTTAATTCTTGATTCATTTCACTCACATGAATGTCTCTCTTCATCTTAAAATGTAAAAATATTAAATCATTTCTCCAATAATTTAAGACAAACTAAACAAAACCATAAACCTTTATCTGTTAGAAAGAAACTTCTAATATTTCATTTGAATGTTGAATCCAGCAAAAAATTTGCAAGGATCTATTGGAGAAACCAAGAGGGCTTCAATGTTATACTTAGAAAACTAACTTCTAATATTTCTTTGTTGCAAATGAGATTTTAGGGGGTATTTGTCATTGAGCCCATAGTACAAGGGGTCTTTTTAATTTACCCTTAAAAATAATTAGTTTGTTAACCATTTTAATTCTAACCACAATAAGATGGTTGCAGATTAAAACCTGATTCAAAATCTGACATTTATAATCAAATGCAGATTCAACTTGATTTGATCTGAATTTGATCAGCCCTACTGCCTACATTATGTACGTGTTGGTTTGGTGCAGATTTGGGCTAGGCTTAGCTCAGAAGAAAGCAGTTGCTTGAGCCTATAAATCCGTAGGTCTAGCTAGGTTGGATTAAGTTGTATATGATCCTAAGTAGAAGTAGTCTTATAACATTATTAATTTTAACTATCCTATTAATATTAATTATTTTTAAATAGAATTCAAATGTATATTTATTTTTAATTTATAAATGACTAAAACTTGCTATATTTTTATTAACTTTAGTAATTTTTTTATTAATTTACTTATTAGGTTGCAAATTATAATTTTCTAACAATTAACCAATTAAAAAGAATTTGAATATGAAACACACAAATAGAATTTGGATGAGAGTAAAATTATCTCTCTCTCTCTCCCTCTAGAATACAATAGGTTAATAATGGTAGAGGCCTATAGAAATATGCTAAAATAGATTAATGATGTAAGGGGTGGGACCTATGCCTTAGATTATTATTAGGTTGCAAATTATAATTTTCTGACAACTATTAATTAATTTTTGAACTATTATTTGTTTACGGGCTAGGTTGGGCCCATGCATGTGGCCTTGAAATTTGTGAGCTTGGTGCAAACCCGGGTTTATGCCAGACTGAAATGGTCACCCTTGGGAGACTGGGAGTTAATGAAAGAGAACTAGAAAATGGTTTTATATTTTATATTCCATTTCTGTCATTAATAAAAATATATTTTTATTTATCAAATATGTGCCTAAAATTTTCTACAAATTTTCTTTATATTTTATATTTTCTACTTTAGTTATTTTTTGAAAATTGTATTGTTTAATGATGGGATCATGGCATGGCCCATCTGACCTAAAAAGGTTGAACTTCTTACCACCACCAAGAAAATACTATTTTTTTCCGTCAATTTTAAAAATATAAGTTTTTATATTATTAAAATTATTATGTATTAATTTAATTAGTGGAATTTAGTGATGAGAAACAAAAGTGCACTAAATATATAAATCAATAAGGGAGAATGTGAGTAGGGGTGCAAGTTGGGCAGGTTGGGCTGGGTTTATGGTAAACTCAGGCCCTGCCCTAAAACTTGGGTTTAAAGCCCGAGCCCAGACTGAGCCCAAGGTCAAGCCCGGTTCTCTCAACCCGAGCCCAGCCCGCACTATAATTTGATGCACTCAGGTTGGGCTCGGGCCCGAGCCGGGCTTGGGTTAGTAAATGAACCCACACTCTAAAATTATACATAGAAAATGTATTTACGCAAATATATATACATATATTTATGTATACATGTAAATGTGTATCCAAAATATGTATACAAATGTAATATATACAAATATGTATGTATCTATATGTAAATATGTATGCAACATTTACATATATACACATATGTATGTATAAATGTATATAGTTGGGTTAGGCTCAGACTGGGTTCAGGCTACCCAAGGGCTAGGTGCCAACCCGGCCCGAAAAATTAAAAAGCCCAACTTCTTGGCCTTGAACCCAGCCCAAAGATAAATAATCTAAGTCCAACCGGTGTAAAATTCCAGGTTGGGCTAGTTCGAAATCGGGCTGGGCCCACCCAAGTTGCACCCCTAAATGTGATTTAATACTTAAATGTGGGACTTAAAAAAAAATTGAATGAAATTAATAATATTATTCAAATTACATCTTTTGCCCTTACAAAAATACATAGTAGTATAGATAATAGGTATTTAAAATATAAATTATGGCCGGTCAGCCAGTTTGGGTCTGGGGTCGACCCGAACAGTAGTGTACCAAATGCTCTTCGTCATTCATGAAACTAGCGATTATGGAGAATATTCTTACACAATAAATAAATAAATAAATACATGAGCTTGCAATATGAAATATAGAAATTTATTTTTTTTCTGTGTATCATAATTATATGGCGTTCCTCGTAGTGCCCTCTCGTTCTATACAAAAGTAGCATATCCTCTTGATCTGGGTCGTGGAGAAAATTATATTTTTCTTCTTGTAAAGAGAACAGAGGAAAAGTGTATGTGTTTGTAGGGTGGTGTAACTACGAGGGTGAAAAAAATAGAAGAGGGAGATTTACGTTTGGGGTTGCTACTTAATAGCCAGGGACCATTGGTGGAGGAGGTGATGAGTACTGGAAGCCGATGTGTGGAGGAAGGTTGACTTCGGGGTTTAAAGGAGGTGGCGACTGGGTAGGAGGAGGAGGAGGAGATGGAGAAGATGGTGGAGGAGGAGAGAAGACGGGTGGTGGTGGTGGGGAGTGAACAGGTGGTGGTGGTGGTGAGTAGACAGGTGGTGGAGAGTGGACAGGTGGAGGGGGTGGGGAGTATACAGGTGGTGGAGGAGAGTGCACGGGCGGTGGTGGAGGAGGTGAAAAGACAGGTGATGGAGGTGGTGGGGAGTACAATGGAGGTGGAGGAGGTGATTGTACCGGTGGAGGTGGTGGTGGGGAGTACACGGGTGGTGGTGGGGGAGAAGAAGTTGGCGGTGGTGGTGGTGATGGAGGAGACTGAACTGGTGCAGGAACGGGTACAAGCTGTGGGGGCGGGGGACTTCTTACTGGATTGCGTGGAGAGGCGTTAACGGGCGCCAGAGGAGGTAGGCTTGGTGCGATGGAAGGCGTCGGTGTGGATGGAACTGGCGGCTCTTGTGATGGTGCTGGTGTTGGTGATGGTGGGGAGTAAATAGGTGATTGTGTTGGTGATGGTGATGGTGGGAAGTAAATCGGTGATTGTGATGGTGTTGGTGTTGGTGGGGAGTAAATAGGTGTTGGTGTTGGTGTTGGTGTTGGTGTTGGTGTTGGTGTTAGTGATGGTGATGGTGGGAAGGAAATAGGTGATGGTGATGGTGTTGGTGTTGGTGTTGGTGTTAGTGATGNATGGTGATGGTGTTGGTGTTGGTGTTGGTGTTAGTGATGGTGATGGTGGGAAGGAAATAGGTGATGGTGATGGTGTTGGTGTTGGTGTTGGTGTTGGTGATGGTGGGAAGGAAATAGGTGATGGTGATGGTGGGAAGGAAATAGGGGATGGTGATGGTGTTGATGTTGGTGATGGTGATGGTGGGAAGGAAATAGGTGCAGGAGTGGGTTGCTGTTTGGGTGTGGCTGGAGTTGAAATTGGAGATGGAGATGGTTGGGGCTGGGGCTGGGGCTGTACTGAAGGAGGTGAAATTGGTGATGGTGTCGATGGTTTAGATGGCGACGGTGATGAAGAGCCACCACCACCACATAAGGCCTTCCCACAGTCAACCTGTCGATTCACCACCGGAATGCAAAGGCTGGCTGTCTTCTGTCCAGGACGATCAGGCAAACAGTTGCTCGTATCATCCAATATCGCGTCTGTCCTCTTTGATGGCATGCATCCAGCCTCTTCTCCATTGAAGTAGTTATACGAGAAGGTGAAGTTCACCAAAGATGGCAATCTACAAATATTCTCTGTAACAAACCCTGTTAACATGTTGTATGAAATGTCCAAGTACTCCACACTCTTCATCTCCGAAATGCTCTTAGGCAACAGACCAACAAACGAGTTGGACGCAGCAGCAAACACTGTTACATTCTCAAGCAACCCAATCTCCGGCGGCAGGCAGCCAGTCAGGTTGTTGTTCAAGAAAACTATCTCATTCAGTGTCTTTCCCATCTTACCGATGCTACGTGGGATGCACCCAGTAAACCTGTTATCGGCAAAAACTATGACTGAAGCCGGTGAGTTTCCAATATTCTCAGGGATGTTGCCTTCCAATCGGTTGTGATTCAAGAACACTGCATCTAGATCCTTATCGAATAGCTCCGGCGGCAGGCGACCTTCGAAGTCGTTATATCTGATGTCGAGGTACTTGAGTGCAGGTATGGAGAGGACTGCCCTTGGGAACGGACCTACGAAGCGGTTGTTGCTGACATCAAGCTCATGAAGAATGGTCAGCTTAGAGAAGCTGTTGGGAATGATTCCACAGAAGCGATTGGAGTTGATGTGGAACAGGGCAATGTCTCTCAGGAGGCCGAGCTCGACTGGAAGGAACCCAGCAATGTCTTCATTGTTGAGATCAATGCCGGCGACGACAGTCAACTTGGGCTCATCAAGTGCATTTGCGCAGAAGACACCGGTGTAGTTACAGACATCGGCACCGACCCAGTTGCCTGTAACGTTATGTGGGTCGGAGTACATGGCCTTCTTCCATGCCTGGAGGGCGATGTAAGCCCGGCGGAGCCTTGCGTTGGGAAAGGTTATGTTGATATTAACCTCGTATTCATAGTCGTCGGGGAGATCACCATTCTCAGGGAGGGATAAGAGCTGGCGCTGAGTAATGTAGGAGGTTTCGGCCTCGGTGAGAGCTGAGGAGAAGGAAGCGTGGTAAGAAAATAAGAGGAGACAGAAGATAAGAAAGCAGCCAGAGGCCTGCATTTTGGATGCTCAGCTCCAACCTTGGAGAGGCCCAAGGCTGCTTATTATGAAGAGATCTGAAGAGGGAAAGACGCGTGGGGTTTTATAACGAGGGAGATGAGGGAATTGATTGGATGGAGAGGAGAAGAAAAACAAACCTTTGGGAACTCTCCAACTATCATTCTCCCATTCTGGCCAATTTTTTTTCTTTTTCTTTCTCTGGTTATTTCTGGTTTCTTAATGGAAACTGGAGGGGTTGTTTTTCTCAGGCATCGCAAGTTTGCTTTGATCTCGGATCTTTGCCTAAATATGAACATTGTCGAACAACTAACAACGACCAAGTCATCGATAATATAATTTGGTCACTTGGTGAGATATCAAAGGTAGAGCTTGATTGTTTTAAATTTGGTCATTTGATGTTTATTAGTTCTGCTTCCTCATCATCATTCATTCATTCTCCAAAATCATTCTCGAAAGGGAAAGAGCTCTGGACTTCTTTTACTTAATTGGTTACGTACGTATGAAAATTTCCAAATCTCTCATCCAACGCCACTTTGGTTGATTATGATCACTGGGAAAAGAAATCAGAACCGCCATTGACGAGAAACTCGATCGAAGGGCTCTGGATCCAACTGTCATGAATCTCGAAGGGATCCGCGCGCCATTAACAAGAACCTGCTTTGTATCAAACCCTCGGGATTGTGTCGTTAATCTCCTCTTTGCGGATCAATATTGGAGTATTCTTAGGACCTCCGGTGCGCTGTGCAAATTCAAAATAGGCCTTGGTCGTTTTGCATCGGCCCCGGCCGGAATGCCATTGGCGATTGGCCTGCAGCAAGGAAGACAACGACTAGATCTTCGACGCCATAGCTTTTCCAGGAAATCAAGTTTCTCTCAAAAGAAGACCGAATAGAAGCATTTAAAAGCACTAAAAAGCAGTTGAGAGTTCAATTAAAATTCATAGGTTGAACAACCAAAACCACATTAAATCTCCCCCCCCCCCAAAAAAAAATAAATAAATAAACAATGTTCATCACTTTCACCCACATAGGAAGCAGATCTAAGCTTCCCTCGAACTACCAAAGTCTCGGTCCAAATGCACCGGAAACGTTGGTTTTTGGATGGAACAAGGGAGACCTACGATAGTTCCTCGCAAATTGCTGAATTCGTCAATCACAGAGGTTGGGGAGGGAGTGGAACTGAGGTGAGAAAAGTGGGAAGAAGGGAGAAGGATAGAGAGAGAGAGAGAGAGGGTGGGAGTAAGGGGCGACCACTGGACTGGTCCGGTGGTGTTGGAAAATCGGGTCACGGAAATTTGGATGAAAAACTGCAACTGGCTTTGCAGTGTATCTAAAGACACTGTATTTAGAATATTATTTGCCCTCACCAGTGTTTTCTTTTATGAGTTTGTTGTCGGTTTACTAACAAATTCATTTACAAAATACAACAAAGCCTTTGGGTGAAAAACTGCAACCAACAAAATTAAAGATTCTTCAAAGAAACCTTTTAAGAGATAAATCTTTTAAGAGATAACAAATCAAAGTTATCAGAAAGACAAATGTATTTGCAATGAAAAGTGAGCAAAAAACTTGTCTATAAATCGGATGGGTTTACACCCTTTAATAATTTTTGGAGAGTCATCACAAAGAGATGTGTGTCCATCTAAAGAATCTCTTGGTAAAGTTATGAATTCAAATTCTGTGATTGTTCACAATTAATTAATGGTTAATGACTGTTAACGTTTGAATAGTATCTCTTAATCACACACAATCAACTCATGACTGTTGGATTAACTTAATAATATTTGTAGTGCAGTTCTACTTCTTAATTGTGATTTAGTTCTTTTTTTCAAAGCTTCTCTAAACATGATTTATTTCTGATCTACACCACAAAGCTTTCATCTTAACATGTGACTTAAGTGCAAAACACCTATAAAATGGATTGTGAGATGGGATTGAAAATCTGCAACTGTACATGTTTCAGATGAGATTTGAATTCAAATTCAAACTTGGCTAAGTCCTATTCTTTGCAATATTGACAACCCAATGTCATTTACTAAGTATTGAAGTTTTGGCTCTTGGGTCGTGCTTTAGTACCATTACTGTTTCTACAATGTTTTGGGTTAATTGATACAAATTGACATACAATTGTTATTTATGATGTTTATAGTTAAAAATGGGCATACATATATAGGAGACCATTACATAAAATTAGCATTACTTGCTCCATGAAGAGAGTGGAAGTCTAATTATTCTAGCTAAAGTGAGTTTCATATGTGATGTGAGAACACAAATCTCTCAAAAATGTTTAAACCAAACACAACCGTACCTTGATTGGGTAAAGTTGGTTAAGTCATGTGGTTGATTGGGTGCTGCTTTCTTTGACCTCCTTGAACTGTTAAATCATCTCATTTCTTAGACCAATAACAATTTGAAAAATTAATTGCGAATATTGGTTCAAAGAATTCCTCGTTGATCTCAGAATGTTCTGAAAAAACCAGCAATTCATCCCTAGAAATCTGAAAAGCATTAGTACTCCTCAATCTGCGCTTGATTTCTCTTCTGAAAGTTTTAATTAGTACTCCCCAATAATTTTTTCAATCAAGGGTTTAGAAGTTCTTCTTCTTTATTTTCATATTTTTCTAAAATCTTAGTATTATGGCCCCGTTTCCTCAGTAAGTTATTTACCCGGGTAAATGCAGTTACCCAGGTAAGTTTTTTTTAGGGAACACTTACCACCCATGTTCTTTTATTTTTCATGTAAATAAGGCAATGACCATTTTAGTCATGAAAATCCATTATTAAAAGGGTATTTTTGTCTCATTCAAGTGTTGGCAACTTTCTCCCTAGGTGGGAAAGTTATTTACCCACCTAAGAGATGGGTATCGCGGGTAATTGATACCCAGGAAAATAAACTTTCTCTAATCCCCACGTAAATCTGAAAAAAAAAATATAATATGAGATTCTTAGTCAATAAAAACCAAAATCCCATCGACCAATTTTTCACCCTCTCAAAATCCAAAAAAGGAACGCCCCCTATTAGTAAAATTCACGGTGGCAACGCCTCTGCTGTGAGTAAATTTTGAGGCTCAATTTAATAAAAGGTAAATCTTCAATCTTATAGTATTGTCTGAATTTAGCCAAACTTCTTGCGATTTAGAAGATCTTTCAATTAGATATTGTGTTCTTTGTGAGTCAAATAGGTTTCCACTATTAGGAATGGTTCTCGGACTAAACTATCTTATTACAAAACCCTTAAGAGACAAATCATAAAATTTTATTATATATAATTATTTAAAATTTCTAATTAATAAATTCAACAATTTATATTTATATGAATTTATGTTATATAAATTAAAATTAATTAATTTCTTGTAACTTTTTTTTAATTTTTCTTTATTTTAAATACAACAAAACAGATTCAGATTAAATCCGAAATTCCAAATCTAATGTTTTTAGATTTGAATCAAATCCAATGTGGCTGGATCCCAATCCGAATCTGACCTTATTACATACAATAACCTAACCCTACCTAAGGAGACCAACCATCAAGAGTTCGGAAGAGAAGAACATAACTTTGTCTACACAAACAACAAGTCCTTAAAATGTGATCCGTTTACATCCTGTTACATCGCTCAAAACTTTAAGAGGTTTAACCTTAACCTCATTTATTTTTTATTAAAATCATCAAAGCTAAAGAAAGTAAAATTTCCCCCATTAAAACGAAAAATTCTTTTCTTAATCTTAAATAAATTAATTAGAAGAGAGCCAAGCATGCACTGGTGTTAAAAAGTGCCCATGTTCTACACAGAAGTAATTACATTTAAGCTATGTTTGGTCTGAAGGAAAAAGTAGGGAAAGGAAGAGAAATGTAAGGAAACCTATACAATGTTTATAAAGGTTTTCCTACCTTTTCCTACTTTTTCCTTCAAACCAAATACAGCTTTAATTTTCTAACGGAAAGAAAACTAAATTGATTACGAATGATTTTAAATATAACCCCATTTTGATGTTTCTATTTTTCTTTTTTTTTTCCTTTTAATTTCGAGGGGCTGGTAAGAAAAGGGAGAAAGATGGAGGAATAAACTGGCTTATACACACACCAATTATGAGTAAATTAATTACTTATACCTTCTTGTGATTTGGGTAAAATACCAAGAGATTCCCTTGTTTACTTATTAACTTATGCCATTTGACCAAGAGGGCTTATTAATGAGAGTCTGGATTGGTTAGACAAAATCATATATAGTGGGATGGGTGACAAACGTATCACTAGGCCAGTGTTTTGTGTGCATAAGGTATGGGTTTAACACGACCTCCATGTATACAATACCGGTGTGTTTTTAGGGGTTTAAACGGACTGATTTTGAATCAAACAATGCAATATCTGAATCCAAATCTGATTAGAAAATCTGATATATAAATTTGATTTAATATCTGATAGATATTAAAAATTAATATTCGATCTCGAATTCGATTCGAATATTCGATTTGATTTGAATTCAGCCAATTAATTATTTTAGGTAATTAATAAATATATAAAATGAATATTTTATTTATATAAAGTATATAAATATAAATATTTATATAATTTAATTATTTTATATAAAATATTTAAATATTTTATATTATATATGAGAATTAAATAATCGATCAAATTTGGATATTTACTGAATTGAATCAAGTTATATCCAAATTCGATTCCAATTAACTATTTGATATGAATATGATATCTGAATTTGACAAGTTAGATATTTGAATTATTCAAATTCGATTCGATTATACCAAATCTCAAATTCAAAATCAGATTTTTGAATACCGTTAATATTCCTATATATTTCCTCATGATATGTTGCTAAGCACGTTATGTATCAATTTTGTCTCTCAGCCAATCCAATCTGTATTACAACCTGGTGTCTTCAGCCCACACCCATGTATACGGAATATTGGTGTATTCACTTATGATTGGTTTATGTAGCCACCTACACACAGTGGTGCATGCAGCCCAGATTCGAACTCAAT